CCACCATGCACATCGGAGGAGGGGGGGTTGGGGGGTGGGGATGGTGACGCCGACAGTGATTGGAGGCACGCAAAATTTTCCATATCTGCAAAGACATGGACAAGCACAGGTTTAGGTTCCGTGATCCCCCGCCTCCCGTGCGACAGCGTCCACAAGGCCACCATCGACTCGTCCGAGGCCACACCACGCCGTCTGGGAAGCAAGCAAGTAGCAGGGGGAAAAGGAGAGCATGTAAACCCCACATATATTTTTCCTCTCACTTATATGTGGGCCTCACATATTTTTTATTTTCTTTTTGCTGACTAGGATCCCACGTCAGCGAAACGAGACATCCATACTACTATGGGACCCAAATTACACGGTTTTATATAGTTTAGGGTTGAAGGTTTCTGGTATTGGAGATTGATGTCAAACAAACTCGACGCAAAGTTGAGGGATAGCAAGTGGACTTATATTTCATAGTTCACATACTTAGTTGAGTTGGATGGTATTGGTGTACCGGAGAAGGCCTAATTCTGACCCATCCAACATCTAACACATTTTTACTTGCTCTAAGAGGCGTACAAACTTCTGGCATAACAGAGTGTTGCATGAGTCTGAACTCCATTGTTCTGCGGATAAGCCATCTCAAACTCGATCAGGCATCACCAATATTCTCCACACATATTCCTCACGAAAACAAATATTCTCCTTTTATATAGTTGCATGCACCTGGGGATAAACAGGAAGCATTACAACTTTAATACTTTACATTGATATCACTTTAACTTAATCTTATCTTCATTGTCATAAAAAAAATTAAACTTATCTTTCCAGCACAAGAAAACACACTGCTTCGAAGGCACGCGAAACTCCTCGTCGGATCAGGGTTTATGAGTTAGTAGTCGAGTCTCCATTTTTGGATGAGTTTCAGATAAGCCATTGCAGCTTGGATCGATCAGTCATCGTCAATATTCTCCAGACATATTCCTCGCCAAGATAAATATTCTCCTTGGACGGTTGCACCTGAAGATCAAAGTACTGTTACCACTTTACATTCATCTCACTTTGTTTCACTTTAATTTAGTTTAATCTTATCTTTACAGCATTAGAAAGCTACCTAGACTTATACTTGCTCCTGATTAGTCCAAGCTTGTTGCACTAGCACACCTATACTACCAGAGATTACTTTCTACCATCCCTAAATGCTACTGCATTTCTACTCGTTTTCTTCTTAGCCGAACATCTCATCAACATCATCATGCTGATCGATCGAATACGCATTTCATAGACAAGAGTAGCTAGACAACTTTGAGACCTTGACACCAATGTCACAACAGTGCCCTCTCATTAGGGGAAATCTGATATCCCAAACATCCAATCCAACAATTTCAGATTTTGTTTCAGGCAGATTCTTCCTTACCACTTGCGTACGAAGGCATAATAACTTTTGGTTCATCTTTCTTGAAAGAAAAAAAAACCGATGCCAACTACAAAGGACCACTCCACTGACACTCTAAGGAGGAAGTGAACACACAGAGTCTAGCAAGAGATAAGCATAAGATTGATAATGTATTCTATTGAAGTTTCATGGGTCCAAATCACACTTATATGATTCGTGATCATGCTTTCAGTTTTTAATGCCCAGTGTACCGTCTGGTGATCACAAGCTGGCAATGCAAAAATAATGAGTTATAGATTAGTACTTTATGTTTATATAGCACCTAAGGGCTGCAGATCGACCGTAGGCTAGAACCAAAGCCCAACAAGATTCTCATTCCCAGTGGGTTTCAGGATTAATATGCCGATCTGTTTGATGGATACAAAAGGTGCTAATAATGTGAAGTAATATAATATTTAAGGAGCAGTGGTTATAACAATTCTGATGTAAAAACAACATGGAGCTCATTGGAAATATATATATGAAACACACGCTCCAGGAAATAAAATTGCCTTGATTAATTACTAGATTCCTGCTAGTGTTGTTAATTAGTTCGTGTCATCTAACGTGAGACGTGGCCCAGTTCAACATCATGTAGTGTGTGGCTCAACGCCTCAACCACTCAACCCAGCTTGGCTCTGCAAGCTTCAGCAGCCCGAACCCGGCCTGTTTATGTAAGCAACAATAGCTGGGTCAACCGGGCGGCTCGGGCCCTTTTGAGCATTCAGGACCAGTCCAAGCCCAAACAAAGGTCCCGTTCGGCAAGCTGGTTGTGGCTGTGGCCATGCCGTATGCGTGTGCACTATTGGTGCCGGTTGTGCCACAGCCGTAAGACAGCAGCTGAACAGGTACAAACAAAAAATAACCTGTGCTCTGCTAATTAAGTAGACTAGATAGTAAAAACTTCATAAAGAAACACAAAATGGTGGTTTTTCTATGCCCGGTATGAAATAGTACTATTTGTCTGTAAAGTAGTGACTTTTGGATACAAGGTTTGATTATAAGTTATATATAAAGTACCGGGGGGCCTTAATGGGCGATCGATCGCCAGGCGATCGCCCAGGCAATCGGATCCGGCCCCCCTCCCCCTATACTCCTCCCTCCTCTCCCCTATTCCTCCTCCCCTTCTCTTTCTACTACAGTAGACCACACAAATTTTTTTGAAAAACAAAAGTTAGAAAAAATTATGTATAGAAATACTATATATAAAAAATTTGAATTCAAATACAAATTTGAATCAGGTATGTAAACTTTTGACTTATAAACTTTGGGTCTATAAATTTTAGGTGTATAAACTTTAGATGTATAGAAATACTATATATAGAAAATATTTGAATTCAAATTCAAATTTGAATCAGATATAATTCAAATTCAAATTTGAATCGGGTATATAAACTTTAGGTCTATAAACTTTAGATGTATAGAAATACTATATATGAAAAATATTTGAATTCAAATTCAAATTTGAATCGGATATATAAACTTTTGACTTATAAATTTTTTGTCTCTAAACTTTAGATGTGTAAACTTTAGGTGTATAAATTTACTAAAATAGAAAAGTAATGCGGTGCCAAAAAAGGAAACAAGGTGGAGATGTGGAGGGAGGGAGGGGGGTGTGCAAAACTGATCGCCCTGGGCGAGCGAGCGGATCGCTCGCCCAGTAGCATTCCCGTAAAGTACCTAGCTTTAATAATAAAATAAGTCATGGTAAATACTTACATAGTTTTTTTCAATAAGGTGAATAGTCAAACATCATGTCTAAAATTCAACAATGCCATATATTTTAAAACATATATAGTATATTGTAAAATTGTAAGTCTAACCTAAAGCTCGTAGTTAAGTAGCCATGCGGGCTTGAGATGGTCTTGCTCTGCATTACACTAGGGTTTAAAGTAGATTTGTGTATTCTCATGTTCTATGTATAATAAGTATTAACTTATTTGGAAAATAAAACCGATGAGTCCTTATTTGTTATTGGCATATTGCGATACCATATTCGCATTAATATTTCATTGAAATGTAAACCCTGTACACACGTCTTTGAAATAGTAGGGGGAAATAACGGAAGAGGCCACCATCCAAAGATAAATAAAGATTTTTATCAAGATTAAAATAGGATAAATTGTCGGTGAACATCCAAGAATTAAAAGTTAACGCAGCCTCAGTCACATGATTAGCATGTTCACATTCAAATGTGAAAAAAAAATCTGAAACTATTTTTTGATGAAGGTGCTATGTGATTTATCAAACGCTCTCCTTCTCTTAGAACAATGGATGTGTTTAGTTCAGCGCAAAGTTTAGATTTTGATTGAAATTGGAGATGATGTGACTGAAAATTTGTGTGTATGACATGTTGATGTGATGGAAAAGGACTGAAGTAGCCAATGTCATGTTTCCACGCACTTGCGTGTGAACGAAATATGCATATTCCCCGTAACTTTTTCCAAAGAAAACCAAGGCCCCCCTTTTTCTTAAGAAAACAAGAAAACCAAGCCCGTATAAGCAGCTTGACTCCCGCGTCTAACCATTACGAACGAGAAGAAACCGCCCACAAGCCAGCGTGTGAACGAATCAACACACGCGGAGCGCGACCGAATTAACCCCCCTTCCCCCAACGTCATCAGATGGAACAAATTCCCCTCGGTTTAGTGTTAAACGTGCCACAAATCACCTCCTAATCACTAATTTTTTTCTCTCCCATCCTCTCGCCGAAACCACCCAAAACCCAAAAGAAAACGGAAACATAAGAGCAGGTACAATAACGAGCTATTAGCTAACTATAAACATATTTTAATAAGATAAAAGATAAGAGAGAAAAGCAGCAGACTACGAATCTGTAGCCAGCTGCAGCACGGACTTCAAGACGCAATGTGTATATGACAGATGGACTATATATGTTAATAGTATAGTAAGCAACTATTATATGAATATGCTATTAAATTAGCTATAGATAAATTAAAGCTAGCAGTAGGCTATACTATTAAACTTGCTCTAACAAAGAAAAAGTAAACGACCCAATCTTCGGCACTAATCAACCGGAGGACGACGAACCAACCAACCACCCTTCCTCCTGACAAAAGCAACCCCACTCCTCCTACCTGTCCCCGCACAATCCCCAAGGCGCAAACGCGTGCCCCACCTGTCACCCACACGTACCCTGAGGCTGTCAGATTCGATCCTTAGCCATGTTAATTTAGGGCAATTAAACTACACCGAGACGAACGAACGAACTATAAGCCATGGTCCAGTGCTTAGCCGTGGCGAATATATGCTCCCTCCCCTAAATAAAGCTCGCGAACGACGTACACCATCCGATCGATCCATCAAACCAGACGGCTAGCTGGAGGCGACTATTGTGAACTTGTGAGAGAGTGAGCTTACGACCCACGGGCTGCACGTTGCCATCCATCGGTCGGATCGTTGTGATCCGTCGATCCAGTCAAGTCGCAGGAACCGTGAAAAGATCGGCCGATCCGTCGGTAGCTTAGCTCCCGATTCGGTGGCTTTATTCCCGCCATTAATTAGTAAAAAGCGAAATGAATTCGGCTTGATCGATCCATCCAGCTTGCCTTCCGGACTCCGCGTATATATTTCCCGCCACCCCTGCCTCGCCTTCCCTACGACATCGAGGGCGTCATCGAGTGAGTAGTGTGAGAGCTGAGCTGAGCTTAGCTTAGCTTGCGATGGCAATGGCGGCGGCGGCGCAGGTGAACGTGTCGGTGTGGAGGGACGACGACTACAGGAGGATGGTGATGGCGTGCTTGATAGAGGCGGTGTACCTGCTGGAGCTGGAGAGGCAGGAGAGGAGGGACGCGGCGGCGGTGGCGCAGCAGTGGTGGAAGCCGTTCAGGTACAGGCTGGCGCACGAGCTGGTCGACGAGAGGGACGGCTCCGTGTTCGGCGCCATCTTCGAGCGGGACCACCAGCCGGCGGCCGCGGTCGACGGCGAGGCGCCGCGGGCGGTGATCGCGTTCCGCGGCACGCTGCTGCGGGGGCCGACCATCCGGCGCGACGTCGAGGACGAGCTCCGCCTGCTGGCGCGCAACAGCCTCCGCGGCTCGGCGCGGCTCGCCGGCGCGCTCCAGGCGCTCAGGGCGACCATCGAGAGGTTCGGGTCGGAGAACGTCTGCCTCTGCGGCCACTCCCTCGGCGCCGGCTTCGCCCGCCAGGTCGCCAGGATGCTCGCCTCCTCCTCCTCGCCGCCGTCGCCGCGCCACCACCACCACGCCGCCGCGGCGTCGCTCGAGTTCCACCTCTTCAACGCGCCCTACCTGTCGCTGCCCATGGGCGTCAGGAGCGTCGTCAAGACGGCCGACTGCCTGCTCAAGGCGGTGCGCACCGGCGTCGCCGCCGTCGGCCGGTGGCACGGCAAGGCGCTCAAGAACGTGGCCTACGCCAACTGCATCCTCGGCTACACGAGGCTCGAGAGCAGCAGGAGGTTGTGAGAGAGATCGACCACGAAGACGACGACGAATGATACGTGTACCTAGCTATCCATCATCTGATCATCCCCATGGAGGAATTCAATTCGAGGAGAACAATAAAAAGCATCTGGCACACGAGGATGCACGGTTTAGGCTGCCCTGCATGCTTGCTTGCTCTGTAAATGTTAAAAACGCTTTTGCTAATTGTGAATTATCTAGCTACTACTGTTCTTTTTGTCATGGCCTGTTGACTTTGCCCAGTTCCATGCATGTTAACTAGTTCAAATGTTCAATAGATCTCTACGCATGCATGAACGGTTTGAGAATCATCTTTCTCAGTTAATTAAGTCGTGTATGCTAGTACGGTGTATAGATGTGTTGAACTAAAACCTTTGAAATGGAGGAAATTTAAAGGAATTTTAGACGAGTTGAACTAAATCCTATGAAATTTCCATGAAATTCTTATGATTTAATAAAGGAGCATGAACCAAGTAGAGCATGTAGGTTAACTTGCAAACCCACTCTAGTTCATTTTTTTACTAGTACGGTGTATAGATGTGTAATTTTGACTACAAAATAGATGCATATTGAACCATTAGTTATGAGAGATTGGGTTAATGGGCTAAGTGCATATTTAACACATATTTTCTCCATCTCATAGAAAACCAAGTACATCCCGTACTAGCTTGGTTTTTACGGAATAAAAATAGCTCATAACTTAGCAAAAATATAAGATGGGGGAGAGATATAAAAGAGGTCTCTTTGTGGTTGACTTGTGTTTTGGCCGAGAATATTATGCGGACAAAGGCGATGGTGTAGCCTCGCTCCCCAAGGCCCTTGCTGGTAGATAGAGTAGACCTAGATAAGGGCCTCGCTAGCTAGCACTATGGCTCCAAACAGGACTAATCGAGTACTGCTGGCAAGGTCAGAGATACTACCTCCATTTTTAGTGCGTGATAACGTTGATTTTTTTAAAACAAATATTTGATTATTTCTCTTATTCTAATATTTTTGTAAATATAAAAAAATAAGTCATACTTAAAGAAAGTAACAATAAAATAAATGATAATTACATAATTTTTTTAAAGTAAGATGAATGATCAACGGAGGGATTACTGTGTTATATATATTTTTGCAAATATAAAATAATAAGTCATACTTAAATAACATTTAACGATAAATCAAAGTAACAATAAAACCGTTAATATATATATTTTTAATATATATTAACAGTGTTATATTTTTAAAAACGGAGGGAGTACTGTATACGGTCATCAACAAGCTCGATCATTCCAAATCCGCCCAAAGGTTGGAGGCGCCAAATCTAACGATTGGTGACACAATGATGCCAAATCAGGTGATCATGGAGGACAACAATTGCATTTCCATAGTCTGAGGCTGGCAACAATCGTTTTGGCCACCAGCAAAGTGAGCAGCGTAGGATCTAGGGACCCACGAAGTCTAAGTGTGAATACAACAGCTGGAGTGGTCGACCAACAAGCTTGAGAACATTATGGCGATCATAACACGATGACAACAAGATGACAGTGGTCGATTGGTCGAATGAGGTGATTGCAGGCAGCTGGTGTCCAAACAAGAGATGAAAAAAAAAACTTCTAGGTACGAATTTTAGATATAGCATATGTCCAGTACTGTAATTGGAAGATTGTTTTTTCTTTGAAAAAGAGGAAGTCGTAGGTTGTAAGAGAATACAATGATAAAATATAATCACACCTAATTGTTGAGTACAAGGGAAAACTCTATTCATCCCTTAAATAGGATGTCTCGTCGTTTTTACATGTCACTTAAAAAGTATCAAACTTTTTTTTAAAAAAAAAGTAATATCTTACTTCACAAAGCATGAATATTCAAATTTAACAGGTAGAAAAACAATAACAAATTTAATTATGAATAGAATACGTAATTCATTGTCAAGTTTATTATATTTTATTTCGAATTGTATTAGTCGAATTTTAACTTGCATGTTTTTGAAAATATATTATATATATTGATCTATCTTGATAAATATTTTTAAAATTTTTGATGACTTTTTCAATGACATGCACAAAACGAGTGTCCCTCGAGAGACAAAAATTCAATTCCGCAGTTCGAGATTATATTACATGATTGTACTGTAACACTGCTGTACGACAACATGCCCTAACCCGGCTGTATCCGTACCGGCAACTGCAAGGACGCACACGGGGACGCACAATTGACGGTGAAAAACGCAACGCATGCCACCACCACCACACCACTGACAGCAAAGGCACCCAACTATGTTGGGGTTGTGCATGCATTGTATGCTTCCTGCCTGTACGTCGCAAGGCAAAGCGAACTGCCACTTCACCACCTCCTGTCTCGCAAAGCCAAGATTAGATCCAACAGGTGAAAGAAAGAAAGAAAGGAAGAAAAAGCTGAGCCTGAGAGAGAGAGAGAGAGAGAGAGAGAGATACAGCTGGAGACGGGCAAACAATGGCTCACAATAATACTAACATTAACGGCCGGGGGGGAAAAGAGATGGATACCCTGCCTGCCTGCCTCTACGTTGTCGTTGTGCAGGCTTCCTAACCTTAAACCAGCTGTGTTCTCTCCTGCGTGGCCTGTTCATCGCAACAGCACACAGCATGATTAACCTTTTCTTGGGCCTCCTTGCTCTGAACAAATAGATTCTCTCTTCGTTCAGAAAGAAAGCATCTCTGTTGTGTTGTGTTTGTGTTCTCTCTCTCTCTCTCTCGTTTCGTTTGATCCGTCGCTTCGTCGCAAAGCAAACGGCGATATGCAGCACCGGGCGAGCAGCTTGCATCACGATGGAGCACCAGGTAATTAATTAGTAATTCTACAAATCTCAGATATATGCTGTTTCGGCAAACGTCTATTAAATTGCATTCCGCCTTTGGCAAAAAGAGGATTTGGCTGATTAATTTTTTTTTGAATGCCTTCTTTTTTTTGAATGCCATTTGGCTGATTAATTAGCGTGTGCTTTGGCAAAATTTCGTTCAATCGATCGCCTTAATTTTGTGGTTTGCAATTTTTTAGGGCCAATGGCGCCGCCGTCGGCGGCGTACGACGAGCCCGCGCCGCCGGAGCATCCTCAGCCCAAATGTGGATTCATCGCAGGATTGTAAGATGCTAGAAATTCGTTTTCTTGGGGCTATGAATTTCGTGTAGAATTTTTATCCTCATGACATTTTTCTTACGTGATCATGCAGCTTCATGGCGCTTTGCTGTTGCTGCCTGGTTGACGAAATGCTGATGTGACACGGTTTGCATGGTATCAGCGATTGTACAGCTGTAGATTTTATATTGTGCTTTAGAATTAGGTTGTATATAAAAATCGAATGACGGGAAAATTGATACATCATGCAGTGCAAAAATTCCTTGAAAGTTTGAGTTCTCGGGTCTGTTTAAGTTTGTAGCCAAATTCAATCTAGCTAAAGTAAATTTGACAGTGCAAAAATATTAGTCATTTATTTGGTTTGTAGCCAAAGAAAATTGACACTGCTCAACTAATTGCTTACTTTGGTAGCAAACTAAGCGAAAGGCTAACTATTTTTTGCCAAAAAAAAAAGCAATGACCAACTCTTACCGTTGCCAAAAAAAAAATGGCAAGGTTAAGAATAGGAATGAACCAAAAAAAATTCCTCGCAGTACAATTTCCACGAATGCTTAGAACATCTTCAGTAAAACCCCTAAATACAGTCCTTAAACAACTTTGAGAGGTTGAGACTAAAAAAATAAAGTACAACAGGGCCCCTACTTAAGGCCCTAAAGTAGGAAGGCTCCCAAATTCCCTCCTACAGCCCCTAGGCCTGGGGGCTCTATCCCCAGCCCCTATCCAGTTTTCTTTGGCGCGGGGGAATGCTTCCACGACGCGTGCTCCTTCCCGTGCGATTGCTTGCACGCTGCCGACTGTCTTGTTGCGGGTGTTTCTGCTCTAATCCGGCCATCGCCCTGCTATAGTATTGGTCACCTGCATGGATGCACGTATGCATGGATTTTTCCACATATCGATGAGACGTGGTTTGGTTCCTGTTAAGTGTGAACAGCCATCTGCCGCCAGTGGCCAACTGAGATTTGATGCTGATCTAGAAGGAGCTACTACTATATCTCCTTGCATATATGCATGCAGTTTTGTGTATGCACTGGATATAATATATCTTATTAATATTGTCCAGCTCATATATGATTATATGCATCCATATATGCATGTATATCATTGGATACTGAGTGTAGGATGGATGAACTGCTACTGCTACTAGCCGCAACAGATGCACTAATCGAGCATTCTAGTGAGTCATCCATGCACTCACACTAGTGTACGTATATGCACATATCAGTGTGATATTAGAAAAAAAAATTCAAATTTCAATTGAATTGTGTTGTTTGAAATTATTAATTTAAATTTGATTAAATTCTATGCGTTGGAAATATTAATATTTACATTATTGTAATATTAAACTAAACATAAAATATGGATTATAAGATGAAATAGAGGAGAAAAAGAAATAGGGGCTAAGAAATAGACGTTGTTGCTGGAGTTAGAACCATTCTTAGAGTCCTGAGGAAATGAGGGCAGCCCCCATTTAACCTTTAGGGACTCTAAAATAGGAGCTATTGCTGAAGATGCTTACCAATTCAAGTAAAGCAATAAAAGTCTCTATAGGACCCAAGGTAAAGAGAGAAAATCCTGTTGTGGACATGGCTTGGACCTAAGACCTGAACACATTGATTGCCTAGACTCATCGCCAGGCCTCCCCATCATGGCTATATTATTTTTAAACAACAATATTCATTTCTATCTTTATTTCACAAAAGCTACAACAATTATTACAGATGTTACAACCTTGCAGGTCGAACAACTGCGAATTACAAAATCGTAACTTGAAAGCATAGACAACAAGAAAACTATTTAGAACACCAACTTAAAGGCATAGATAGCACATATTGTTAAATATCCATATATGTTTGACAAAATATGCATAACCATTGTTGCCTCAACGGGTTGCAAAACAGTTATTGTCTTCTCCTGAAAACACCAAGGAAACAAATTAAAATATCTTAAATCAGCGACCGATTATTGTGCCGATCGAATTTCGCGTACATCACCATCAATGATTGACGTTAAATCATAGTGGAAGATAATATCGAAGAGTAAATAAAATGTAAATCGTCCACTCACCCAGATTCTACTAGTAGAAATAAACAATTTTTTTAATTGATTGAGATTGGCCACGAACCAAACAAGCTATATATATATATGTGTAAGTTCGGAACTAGGAAATTCATGTCCGTCGCTGGTTACAGAAAACATGCTACATCATGCATGTCTTCCATGCAAAATGGGGAGGGAGAGACAAACTATCATTTCAAACTTCAAAGTGCTATATGAGGGACATGGGGAATTCATGTCACCAATTTTTTCTCAACATGTTTCTCCCTCAATCTGAGGCAAAAGAAGAGAATGTGCCCCCTTTAATTCCCCTGCGAGGAAAATATGTAATGAAAACCACATTATAGTGGAAAAAAACTAAAAACTATCATAGCATAGAAAAATAAATGTCTCGGATTATTTATGTCATTATGAGTAAAACTTTTATTCATATCGACGTAGACAAATCTCATACATATATTTTTACATCCTACAAAAGTTTTAAGTTTTCACTACATATTTTTCTCTAATAATATATAGTGAAAATCTACCACAATTATTACCGCACGAGTTGTACACAGTCACACTATAGCTCGAATGGCTTGGACAGTTAGAGTACCTGACAAATGAAACCCCCTTTGTTTTTCCACCACTCTTGATCTGGACTAGGATTTACCAAACCGTTTGAGGTGGGGTTACCGTCACCCCGCAGTTTGGCGATTACCGCGCGGTTATCACGAGGTATATCGTGGTTTCCAAAACTGAAAAGTTACCACATGTGATAATCACAATAACCATACGGTTAGGTAAACCCTCATCCAGACCATCGGATCGTCAATCCAACGGCCGAGCGCACACGGCAAAAGCTGTTTCCCCAACCCCAACCAAACAGCGCCCAGGCCCGGGTCGGATCGAGCCGCGGGCTCACGGCCCAAACCCAGCCCAAAAGAGAACCCGAGATTTTCAAAAAGCGACGAGCCCCCGCTCCCGGCGCCGATGCGGCCGCAGCGGCGCCGGCGGCTCCGGCGGCGCTGAGACTGAGAGCGCACCACTCCGCAGCCACAGGCGGACCGGATCGACGATGCCTGCGGCCTCCGCCGCCGTCCCAGCGAGGCTGAAGCGGGAGGACTACCCACGCACCAAGCACGACTCCCTCTTCTCCCCATGGAAGGTTAGGTGCCCCTTGCCAACCCGCCACCGGCGCAGAGCTGACGAGATCTGATCCGGTGGAGTCGAGTTGAACTCCCCGGGTTGCCATCTACCGCCTCCGATTTCGTTGCCAGTTCTTGAATTGATTTGGATCTGATTTTTGCTCCTCGATCGAATTCCCCAACCTGGTTGCAGGTTCTTGTCGGGCCGTCGGACTGGGAGGACCACGCCGCCGGCAAGGAAGGGATCCAGAGGTACAGGGTGCTCAACCTGCCGGAGAACTTCCCTGGCCTCTACGAGCTGGGCGTCGCGAGGGCCTCCGACGAGGGTATCAGGGCGGCTCGGCGGTGGAATGGATCCGGTGGTGGTGGCGTCGTCGTCGTGTACCTCGGGCAGGCCGACAGCGTCAGGGCGAGGCTCCAGCAGTACGGCCGGACGGGATCGCACTTGGACGCCGGGAACCCACCGCCGTCCGCCGGCGAAGCGGAGACGAATACGCGGGCGACGGGGAATGGGTTGTTCAGGGAAGTTTTCGTCAGAGGCTACTCCTTGGTGTTCCGATGTGCTCTGGTAAGTGCAAAACTGCTTTCCATGCTCGTTTTTTGTTTCTTCAGATAAGAAATGGATCCTTGAACAGTTGAACTGTACCGTTCATGTGGAGATCAATAATGGCTTCGTGTCCGAATAAATTGTTGAGTGAAATAAATAGAAGTTGATGGTCAATTGCCACAAATTTTGAGATTATACCATGCCCAAGTCTGAAGTTTGAAGAACTGAAAAATGCATTTTGTCTTCAGCACCAGCATTGTCTATCATGTAGTCTACACGAACAGCTATCCGATTTGTTACGCTTTGCTCATGACAAATGTTTGGACACTCAGATTCATCTTATCACTTTTAATAACTAGTTAAGATCTTTGGTCTATCAGAGTATCTATGATGGATGGAGTGTATAAGTACTATATCTTTAGTAGCTTTTGCAAAAGCAACGGGGTCAACTATGAATATTATGTGCCCTAAAAAAGTTATGAATCTTATGGCATAATTCCACTTTTAGCAATTAGCACTGGATTTCGTTTTTCTTTTCTAATGTGTCTTTAATGTGCAAATAAACAGATGGGTAACAAACAAGAAGCTGAGAAGACTGAGGCTCGGCTGCTTAGAGTGTTTGATTACGCATGGAACAAGCTTCAGAACGGTGGTCTTCGCCGTGAAGAAATACTTATCAAGTTAGAACAAGGGGCAGTCAACAATAGATCATCTCTGCTTAGCAGAGTACGGCACTTCAAACAGGAAGTGTTCAGAGAGAAAGCAGGTATAAAGATAAGCAGAAATGGGTCTGTTGATGTCTCATCTGGCATTATGAAAAATATGCTCCCAAGAATTCGAACATTTGTTGGCTTCAGACCTCAGCTAGTTAACTCTGGTGACAATGTTGACAAGGAAATTGGCATTCGCTGGAAAAATACATCTGAAGGTAACAGTTATGGCAAACAAGCACGTCGAAGTTCTGAAGGATACAAAGTCAAAAGAGTCAATGTTATAAAACGAAGAACTATGCCAGAACAAGATTCTAACGATGTTTGTGGAGTGATGCTGGAAGATGGCTCCTCTTGTCTTGACCATCCAGTACAAGGAAGGAAGAGGTGTGAATTACACAAAGGTAGAAGACTAGGAAGAATCACAGTCAATCCTAAAGGCTCCTCTTGTAGCTATTCTTGCCAAGTTGAGATTCCAGTTGTTGAATCCATATCTCCACTAACTGAAAATGAAAGCGAGTCAGATCAAGCACAGCAAACCAGTGAACTCCTCTCCAAATTTTTGCCAGCAACAGTGAAAAAATCATCAAGACCATGGTATAGCTTTGAAGCGAAAGAAATAAAAACTGGAGAAGCTCCTATAGAAGATGGAAAACAGGAAACCTCTGAGGTCATTGATATCTGTGAAGCCAAAAAGAGTGACAACTCTGCCTGCACCAACAAAGTAATTTCAGGAAGTAAAAAATGTCAGCTGCATAATGGTTGCAAAGCAGAAGAGTTTGTTTCATCTCGAGTCATTGATTTGCTCCAGAATGAAGAAAAGGTCAAAAGCATGACAGTTGACAAGCTCAGTGGGGAGGAGATTTCTCATGGTAAATATCAGTCCCAAGAGAATCAGCCTTCCGGAAGAATGTGGTTTGAGCTGATCAAATTGCAGAATCCTACCAGCACACTGTCATCCAAAGGCCAGGGACGTCAGAAAAGAGTGACAGGCAATGTCGCAGCTATCTGTGAAGCGTTGACGGACAACAGATGCCGTGAAACAATACCAATGGCAGGAAGAGAAAGATGCGATGCGCATGAAGGAATAAAGGTCACCGATGCTTCCTCTGTACCGTTTTCCGGAAGCTCAGGATGGCCATCAATCTGTGGTGCTCGAGCTTCGGATGGTTCTCCTTGTAAGAATCAGCCAATTGCAGGGAGAAAGAGATGCGCGATGCATAAAGGCCAAAGAGCATGTCGGACCCCCTCAATCGACTGAGCAGACATGATATGAGTGATGCTCAATTGCTTACGTTCATTCAGTCATTTGTTGTAATAGCATTTTCAGTAAGGAAAAGTAAACCAAAGAAAGCTGTTTTCTTGCCCCGAGTTTTGATTGGTTATTCGTTGCTGCTTGTAAACCAAAATAGACAGTCAAACAAACCATGTAACTTGATACAACTTTTTTTAGGGACTCAACCTCTATTACCTGAACATCGCGCATTTGCCATCTAATGCACCATAGGGCATTGGTTATAAACTTGTGCTTTCAAAGTGCAAAGAGATACACTCTTCCAAATTCCAATCAATTTCATGATTATTTGATTTTGTACTTCAAGCAAGATTGTAGAATTTCATACAATGCTGGTGTTTGAAACTAATGTAGATGAAGATGAAGATTAAATGTTTTACGCAAAACGAGTTGTTAATAACGTATGATGAATTGAGTTTTAATTATTACAAACTTGAAAATATATTTATCTACGGAGTTGCTAGAAATATGGCGCCATATGCTACAGTCGATTTTTTTTCAGCCACTTACACAGTAGTTACACCTCATTTACAAATTTACATACTAATTGTAATTAGTATGTAATTTTCGAATTTACATATGTAATTTTAGTACTTACATATGTAATTTTGAGACTTACATTGTAAATACACTAAAATTACATATGTAATTTAGGGACTTACAATGTAAATACATGCCGACTATTTTTTGATAAAAAATATAGCGCCATAAATATAGCTACACCCTTTATCTAATATTTTAGAGAAACTTCTTTATATAAAATTTTCTCACATAACTTACCGTTTAGCAGTTTAAAAAGCGAGCCATGAATTTCTGAGCAGAGAATGAACCTTCACCCATAGGAGAGCGCGACAGTAGCAGCAGTGGACACGTCGATTTCGCAATTCGTGTCCTCCAAATCCAAATTGGTCGGGGGAGAGGAGCACGCGAACGCCTTCCTCCTCCCCCTCCCGCTCGATCCGCTCCACCCAATTCGCACGCAACGACATGATGCTGCCGCCGACGCCGACGCCGCCGCCGCACCTCCCCCTCGCCGCCTCCACGGCCGTTAGCTTCACCCCGCGCGCCGCCGCCCAGCGCGGCCGCGGCCGCCGATCGAAGCCCAAGCCCAAGCCCGTCGCGTTCCCGCCGCCGCCGCTGCGCCGCCTCGTCTCGTCCTCCCTCCGCCGCCTCCTCCCGCGGCCGCGCCCCCTCACCGTCCTCTTCCTCGGCGGCGGCGGCGGCGGTGGGGGATGGTTCGGGATGGGGGGAAGGGGGAGGAGGAGGGCAACACCGGCGGAAGAGCTCGCGGCGCTGGCGCTCTCCCTGGCGCTCGGCGACAAGCTGGCCGTCCTCGCCGACTACTGGAACGCGTCGGGCCTCGGCGAGGCGCTCGGCGTGTGGGCGGCGGTGTGGAGGAGAGGAGGAGGGAGGAGGAGGCGAGGCGGCGGGCTCCGGCGGCTCGCGGCGCTGCTGCTCGGGATCGCCTTCTGCGCCCTCGTCTGCCATTTGAGGGGCGCCGCGCTCGTCGACGGCCTCGCGAGGACGGCCGGTGGCCGGAAACTAGCGCGGATTTTCCTGCATTGATTTTTTTGTTGATTGATTGATTGATTTGTTGTTTCGAATTCGTGAGACGAGTGTTTTGCCCTGAATTGGGGAATTGCGGCGTCAGAGTTGTAGGTTTCCTCTTGTGGATGGGGTAGTGTTCTTGGAATATTGATTCAATTCAACTGTGATATGATGATCGCATTGCTGAATGGAAGATAGAAAACGAGAGATGTTGGAATACTAGTATACTTCGTAGAGATTCAATTCAATTTTTGATATATCTGTTTTTTATCGCAATTCGGTTTTAGTTTCCTTATACTCAGGTTTGGTCGATTTCTAGTTGAAAATAATTCTAGTTTCCTTATACTCAGGTTTGATCAATTCCTATTAAAAAATTGAGCCCTACTGTGTTCCCTTGTGTTTGTGATTTCATCTTCGTTTGTCTCAAGTACTCCATAGGTCTACTTTCAGCTTATCTGTGGATCAGTTGCCTTTGCACAACACTTCCAAAAATACAATTTCTGAAAAATAAACTTTATCCATCAACATTACTACCACTCATAACATAGGAGTGATATTTAATTTTACCTTACAAATATAAGGAGATCATCACTCAGATTTCATCCACATTTCATCTGAAAGGAATTCATCTTAGGATCAACCTCTACTTGAACCTAATATAGATGCTTATCCTACTAATCAACTTTAATTGTGTTCTATGATGGATGGCTGAGGAGATGTACCTATTCGAGTGTAATACATGGATTAACTATTATACCCCTCTATTCCGCATTATAAGATGTTTTTCACATTATAAGATATTTTGGATTTTAAATAGATTTTTACCTGAACCCATATGCATCTAAAATCATATGGATGTTAGTGATAGACAAGGGATGAAGAGGTAACAGTATTTATTTATATATAAAGTTCTTACACCAGAGTCAATTGATGCATTAAGCGGAAAAGAACTGGGCCGGATCTGCATCTCTCAAGACCTAATGAACGATATGCATCTCTTAACGGGAGAAAACTCAGCAGGAGAAAATTGCTGTTGCTTATAACACGTAGCACAGGTGGGAACTGCTTTCTTGTGACGTTTGAGGCTTTGAGCACTATATAGAAGTCTAAATCCACCAATATATTCCTCGTATCAGGGCAACGGAACCATGAAAACAATCAGAAGATATATCACCGCATAGCAGAAACGAGAAAGTAGACAAGAACATCACCATTGCTCCAGTCTAGACAAACACAGGTGCAGCCTTACAGCTGACTGTCAGCAGGGCATTAGTCACTCCTGTGCCTAAACGCTACAAATTACATTCCTAAAGTACCGTATCTAAAGCAAAAAAATGACCCTGAGTACGCTTACTGATACCTCAGTGTTATCAGCCCTAAACATCATTAAGTTACAAAAGATGTTACGTTGGAACAATGTGTTAGCCATAATAGCGGAAGTCAACCGCTGTTATCCCTGGAACAGATACCGTAGGGGTTGCTATTGCAATCTCTTTTTCTTGGCTAACTTTGGGTTCTCATCAAGCATAACAAGATCGTCGTCATCGTCATCTTCGACAACTTGAGCACTACTGGATGCATCGCAATTCTCCTTCAACTCTAAAACCTCATCCAGCTTGCGCTTCATTCCAGGTTTAGTGGATATGTCCTCAACAATACCGTCAGCATAATCTGCACCAGATGAAGAAGCAACCGACTGGTTTCCCCCATTACTCGTAACTTGCTTCTCCACTGGAGCAGACCATCCAGATAGAACCATTCCATCAGGCTCTTTTTCTTCATCAAACTCGTCCCTGTAATAATCACTGAAAAATCAGTCTACCCCCTTGAAAGAGTAGGCAACTGTATGTGTACACTACGACACTATCATAACATATAGCTTCCAAATCTACATAGCACAGCATTATAAGCTACTGTATATCCATGTAATGGAATGAGCCAAACAACCTTACATGTTAGAACAAAGTTATACGTAGAGGACATTTTATGAAACTAAAAGTTGTGACATCATAATACTCTGCAAATGATAACTTTAGTGAAAAAGGTGAAAAACCACTGGTCCATGTATAGCAAATTAGTAGCAGCTCATTTTCACTTGTGCAAAATTGTCTGTTTTTAGTTTACATCTGGCAAGATCCCAACCTTTTGAGAAGATAGTTGGACGGCAAAGGATTTCTCTTCATTGAAATATATGTGAAAAACATATAGATAAGTATCATTTAGAAAGACCTCCCATATGCAAACAGATCAGCATACATGGTTCATAGGTTACCTGTGTTTAATGTTAATGCTGCATGACAATTCCTGCTGAAAATCCTCAACAGTAAGCTTTGTGTCATTAACAACTGGAGCTGGAAGTTCAGCCAAGACCTGTAATAACCAGACAAAGCTCAGTTGGCAAAAAATGAATAGTATTTTAACAATGTTGCAACTGCAAGGGCCATAGCTTAGAAAGAAAGAAATTCCATGGAGGATATAATTTCACTGCTTTGAAGGGGGAAGGTTAGTACCTTTTCAAGGTTTAGAGCATAATTTGCAGCCTCATCTTCCTCTAAGCCCTCACCATCCTCAAAAACAAGAGTGGAGCCAATCATTACCAATGGGAGGTTCATCCCAAGTTTGCTTTTTATAATCTTCTCGATGACCTCCCTCAGCTTTGTTGTCTTTGTGTTAACCTCCAGAAGAAGAGGGGTCTGATGCATTCAGTAGCAGTTTTGGGTCAGACTTGAAAGAAAGCGAACAAACATACGAATATCATAGCCCAAGAAAGTGCAAAAATACCTCTGAGCAGACATAACATGATTTATTAGGCTCAAATGGCTCGATAGGCATCAAAAGCATCTTCCTTGAAGGGTGTTCAAGACAATATGTCATTCTGTAAAATTGTTAGCCAATGAAGTGCCATTAAATTCCAGAAAATTGGCAGCACCTTAGAACTCTCTGGACATTACCATATCCAGAAGACCAGAGAGCAGGTATTTTAGCTTAAGTTTACTATCTTTAGGAAAAAAAAGAAGTACATGCTACAACAATGACATGAAACAAACAAAGAGCCTAGTCACCTATATTTTTTGTAATCACCATGGAGGACTTTTATTGCTTCAATAACAATCAAACCAGCTATTATAGCATTTGTTGTTGCCACAGCATGAACTATGTTTCCAGCAACACCTTTAGCTTCAAAAAGGCTATGCAGAGGTATTCCAAAAGAGGAGGCTCTGATATTAGCTGCAGTAGTAACAAACTCAACAGCCAACTGATCATCCTTGTCAAATACTAAATTCCCTATTTCCTGAAAACCAGAAGAGCAAAATATCTCAGATGGAAGTAACTTTAAAGGTTACATAACCTAGATCCGAATAAAATACAACCTTCTCCCTTTTTTCAAAAAATAGTTTTAATGCCTCCAAAAATACCCTTGAATTATCAGCAAGGCTCCAAATTTCTTGTGGGTTCCTAAGACCCAAAGAGACCATAGCAGATGGTTCTTCCTGCTCATTATTGATGTCCCGTGAACTACCATTTTGCCGAATAGCTTCTTCAGGTAATGTATCACGGATGTATATTGGATTCGGCCTTCTTCGATTCTTCCAAGTTTCCTCATTTTCTAAGGCCACTTCGATGTTGTAACCAAAGACATGATCATAAATTCTCCTAGCATATTGATCAAGATCTTCATCTGCATTTCTTTCAAATACATCTGATTTCGAAGTGCCGCTTTCATTTGAACGGACATTAAGATCATTGTCCTGGTTTTTATCCCCAAACATTTTTGCAAAAAGCAACTCCTTTGCCCAAACAATGCAGTGAACAAACTGTGAAAAGAAAAAGTCAGTAATGAATTCTAACACTAAAAACTGATCAGAGCAGCACAGTGCTTGTTCCAAATGGTCAAGTTCACAGAGTATTCCCACAAGAAGTCAAGTTCAGATTTTTAATTACAAAAAATGCCATAAAGCGGAGTGTGTGCTTGTTAAAAGAATGCCTTCTGCATATTGAGGATTTTCAAGTTATGTATGGATTAGAACACTTTTAACAGTGAGATGTCCATAGATTTGGATGGGAGAACTGAAGATATGGAGAGCATAGGAGAGATAGCATCTTCTTTCTTTATTAATTTGTCAACGTGACCTGCCATTTTGGATATTGACACAGTTTCCAATGCACACCTTGACAACTACTTAGTCTATTTACCTCCTCCAGTCCAGTCGCAAATAGGTGGCCTTTGGACACTGGGGGGATCCTTCAAAACTACTTTGACTAATAGACTCCATTATATTTATAAAATAAGGTAAAATTATAATGTTACAGAGGTACATTTTGGACAGATTTGCACATTTTGTTGCTGTAAGCCCAATCTGAAAATCCAAAGATACTGATAGCTGTTTTTTATGAAGTTTGTTCGCATACTCCAAAACATCAGTTTATTGTAACTGTATAGACTATACATTAGTAAAAGAATACAAAAAGATGTGACGAAATACCGTATTATTAATACAAATAAAAAAATATCCCTATGTGGTAAGTTCTAATAATATGCCCACAAGTGGTCAGATTTTTATAGGTTTGCACTTTGACTAAGGGCATTCCAAACTAATATTTTCACAGTAGAGGGATATAATTAGGAGGAAAGTGGGACAAAAGGAAACCTTAGATGGAGTGCTTGTAATTGTGCAGACAGGGTATGACTTAGGGACAGGCTTTGGTTGACATTCATAACATTCTGTTTTACCTTTGACATGAACAGTAACCTGCAAAATATGGAATGGAAATAATTTTAGAAGAGAATTAACTTGAAAATATAGACTTAGCTTACTTGGCTGTTTTGCTCGTGAGACAGGGATTCTACCACCTGCGGCCTAATATAATAATAAACAGAATAATTTGACCGAGGTCGATTCATCCATTAGTTAATTTAGTGAACACTGGTAGCTTCTTTCAGTTAGTTGTTGACATATACGTGATAAAAAAATAAAGAAGATGATTTAAATGACACTATTGTTAAGCCCAGAATCTAGATTCTAGACCACAAAAAACCCATCATGCACAAGATAATAAACACAATACATCAAGGTACACAAAAGAACTCTTCAGCTTTGCCTACCAGAGTCCCATGCATCACAGGCCAACAAATGATATACATCATGTATTCATGTGCACTTCAAAAGTATGTAATGTCTGTATGCAATGTACGTAACTACCTAAAAGGTGTGCAGCTTATATGAACATGCACCAAATATTGGCCAAGCTACCACCAGGAGTTGATTTGAGCTGTATAAAGAGTTAGATTGTAAATAAGGCTGGATAATGTCTAAATGACCATATTATTTTAGGAACTTTGTGGAGAAGGTAGAAAACCTGTTCTATGATCAACATTAGATAATTTGCACTAAAACGGCCTGATTAAGTAA